GAACTAATGAGAAAGTTTTATACAAGCACGCATCGCCCCATTGGTCTCTACGCGTGTGCCAACTTTGGGCCCGATCCGACGAATGGTGCGTGACTAGTTACGCGCCGAAGTTTTTGGTGGCGAGGAGAACTATAAGCTATAATAAAAATAATACGCGGAATAAATATGTGAGATAGTAGTAGGTGGGCCATGCCTTCGGCATGTGGCCCCCCTAATAATACGCGGAATAAATATGTGAGATAGTAGTAGGTGGGCCATGCCTTCGGCATGTGGCCCCCCTAAATACATCTAAAATCTAATAAAATTTAAAAGGATCATTCAATAAATCTACAAACAGTCCATTTCTTTGAAGGTGAGAAAAAAGCAGGGTGAGGTAGTGACTTTATTTAACAGCAGGAGAGCTAACTACTCAGGCTTTGTTCCTTATTTCATCAGATATAAGCTGTTTTCTATAGGGCAAACCTGAGAAGAAGAAGTAAAGAGTTTGTTCCCAGGATGTCTGTGGACTGCAAAGATGTCAGCTGTCTTTTTCCTGACCCTCAACCTAAACAAATCCTGGATGGAGAGACATCAGCCCCTCATGAGCCTCTTTTGCATAGCTGGTTAACCATTGCAGCTTGGATCTGTCCTGTTTTGTGTGTGAGCCAAACCGAACTTTGATGTAGAGCAGGCATCCCAGAAGTCGGTCCTCGAGGGCCGCTGTCCTGCAGGTGTTAGAGGTTTCCCTGCTCCAGCACAGCTGATTTACATTGATAGTTGATTAACAGGCTTTTGCTGAACTGCAATCATCAGAATCAGCTGTGCTGAAGCAGAGAAACCTCTAAAACCTGCAGGACAGCAGCCCTCAAGGACCGACTTTTGGGATGCCTGATGCAGAGGATGACTGGCAGGTCATATTGATGGTTGTAGTTTCTTGAGTTACTGTGGGAAATCTCTGCAAGGCCTTCTTCTTAAGAGTGTCCATCTACGGTGATGAAAAAGTGTGGTTCCTAGCAACTGGGTGGGATCCCCAGTAAAAACTGTTGCTGTTAAGGACAGTGAAGGATGGCAATGGTTGGGATTTTCTCCTGAAGTACTCTCTCAGTGCAGTGAGTACTAAAAAGAGGTCAACGTAAACAGAAGAATGGCTTTAAAAGGGAGAAATTTAAATTTGGCCTAACAAAAGTCCAGCATTAAATTAAACAGCATTGGTAGGTCACTTGAATAAAGGCTGTGGATAAGAGATTTTCTCGTAGTCTGATAGATTTGGACAACTTTTGCGAAATTAATCAATATTTAAAGGTCAATATGTTCAGAAGACTGAAAGCTGAAATGAATTAATAATGCCTCAGTAAAGAATTCATTTATAAGTAAGTTAGTAAGCCTTTGCACCTTTATGCTACAATTTCTCTTTCCTGATCAAATGTGTTTGTTTTACAGTCCAATCGAACAGGAAAAATATAACATTTTATGTGGAAAAAACTTTGCAAGAATTCATAGAAAAGCAGGGATTTAAAATACAGTGTGTGAATTTGTAACAGTGTCACTGTAAAGCTATTCTAAACCTTTTCATGCAACACATTAAGTCCAAGTGACTTGAAAAAATATAAGGAGGGCAAGTTAAAAATCTCCAGCACCTTCGCAGTACAAATGTGGGTTTAAAGAGCACTTACGCTATTGTTGGCCTGTCCTCCAGGTTCAATCATGTAGGTGTGATTGCCATCAAAAAACATCCCACTGAAAAAGAGGAACAGGTGGGTGAGGATACGGCTGAAATACAGTTAATTTCAACACTAATGCCACATCTATTAGATAAGCCATTTGAGCACACAAGGTTGTATGTACTACTTGGTAACTTCGAAGATTTAAACTTATAGGATCCCCCTCATTAAGACACCCTATATTTGACAGATGTCGTCTAGTCTTGATCATTTATTTCTTTGTAAACCAGATAAATATCTAAAAAAAAAACAACCAGTGCAGTAAAAGGTAATTGCCATCCTACAGATTTGTTATTGTATTTTTGTCTCTTTCAAATCATAAAACTAATTGTAACATAGGACAAAAATAACTTCAGTAAAGACAGTTTCCAAATTATGATTTTCCATTTAAGGGAAGAATAATCCATACACACATGAAAACCTAAAATAAATGTGAATAAGCACCCCTTTTTTAGACAAGTGAGTCAATTTGACCTGGTGCACCGAAACTGATCCTCTAGAAATAAAATCTTAATCTCTCTAAAAGTATGAATCACACTGAAAGATCTGAAAAAAGAAAGATTTATTCCCTGATGTAAAGAAATTTAAGAAGAAAAATAAACAAAATAAGTTGTGTATTTTTTTTCAATCCAACAACAGGAGAGTAAAACTGTAAAAATGGTAAAAATCTAACAAGAAAAAAATTTTCCTTCTTGCTGAACAAACCCACAACACACAGACATGTACAAGAGCGGGGTTGACCATTAGGCAATACTAGGCAGTTGTCTAGGGCCCCAAGTTCCTAGCCTGACGTAGTCCGACTCAATTCTAGTCAGAATATGAGTCTGATACTGCTCCATAGAGCTGTGATTATGGGGCGTGTTTCGAACGAACCAGGAAAAAAAATGCCTCTGCACTCAATTGGATAGACCTACAACCAATAAGAGCAACGGAGTGCGTGACGTATGTTAAGCGAGGCATAGTTGTTGTCCACAAAAATCAAAGCGTGCAGTTGCACGCCTATAATAAGAAGATGAGACTTGATCGCGTTTCTCTGTTCCTCTTTTAAAATTAATTTGCTGTCGATATCTTCTAGAACAGACCTAATAGCAGAATCTACTCACCTAAACTCTCCAGCGGCAGCCATTATTGTTGTCACCCAAGCGCGCATTGGTCACGTGGTTGATTACGTTACTGTTGGTCATCTGTCCATCATCGTATAAAGCCCGCCCTGACAATTTGATTGGATCGCCTGACAGTGGGCGATAATACTCGCGCTACTATGGAGCAGAGCCAGACCGAACTTCCCGACCTCAAACTTTGTGGGCGGGACTAAGTTCGGAATGGCACCCAGGCTACCAAGTTCCTGGGGGCCCCATAAAATTCTGTTTACATGTATGGTTACAACAACTTTTTCTTATTTGTGCACAATATTTATGTTTTTGATAAAAATCCTTTTGCTAAAATGCAATCAGAATACTTATAATATTGTGTGTTTCAGCCCCCCTTCAGTGTCCACCACATTGGATCAGTCCATTTGCTGCACATGTTCAGAAAGGTCCAAACAGACAGCAGCAAATCACTTGAAAACAAACGGTACAAAGAGCAGTGTTGCCAACTTTGCGCTTTTGTCACTATATTAAGCGACTTTTCAGACCCCTCTAGCACTTTTATTTAAAAAAAGTGCCTAGCCCCAAATCTAGCGACTTTTTTCTGTTACTGGAGAGTTTGGCGACAACATATAAAAGCACTGAACTCTGCAGAGCAAGTAGATTCATAACCCCGCCTCCTCCTCTCCTCTATCTTGTCTGCTGTAATGATTCATGCAGCTATTATTTCATACAAATGAAAATTGCAGAACAGATAAGCAGATAATGGCTTGTCTACAGTGAAAAGGACTGTGTTATATACTTTTGCCGTCACCTTTTTAGAACAACAGGAAGGAGCAATCAGCTAAGTGAGATTAGTGCTTGGGAAAAATATTTTTAATTCCTTTTAAGACAGCATGAAAAGTCAGCTGAGCACAAAACATTGAGAGGGAAAAAAACAAGAAAAGGGACGAGAAGAGAGTTACTGAACCTAGAACAAATAATGTATGTCTATTCAATTAAAATTTCTGTATCAGTATAATGTTTTTTTATTTATGTGTTGTCTTCTCGATTTAGAGGGCCCCCTGCCTTTCTTTGCCTAGGGCCCCAAATTCCCTAACTCCGCCCCTGCACAAGAGTCATTATTACACACAGAAAACCCTCAAGAAAAGTGATTTATCCATTTGATTTTAGGTTAAGGGGTGAAATGTCCTCACTCAGTCCCATCCTTATAAGTAAATGTGCTTCCCAAAAGACATCAGCCTTTAATTAGTTTTATCTGGAGCTTTTAGCAGATTGGTCGGGTCAAAAGGTAAAGTTACCAGGGTCAGAACACTGAGGAGACACACAATCTACCTCATTTCTCTCAGTCTGTTTCATATTTTCTGGCCTCCAGCTGAGAGATGTCACCTCCAGTGCAACCACAGTCCTGGTCCAACAATTCACTTATATTAAATTATACACGGACAACAATAAATAAACCATTTTACAGTATTTGGATTTTTGTGGGAACCATGAAGTCAAATAAATAGTTCGTTTCATGACACCAAATTTTAAGACGGTTTTGATGACTAAGAAAATTATTTCTTTACTACATTTTAAAGATTACTAAATTATAAACACAAAGCACTTATTTTGCTAAAATTTCTCATAAAAATAGGTTCCCAAGCACAATAGTATTGTTTTGGGAACCTATTTTTCTAATGTTATAAATAATAGATGTCAGTTTGGCTCTAATGTGTTTGAAGTAGCTAAGTTCATTCAGAAAAATAAACAGGCTGAGCACAGGATCATTTCTAATTTCTTTGTTGCATCTGCATTTATCATTTATGTTTTTCTTTTGTTTAAAGTGGTTAAAGCTGAAGTCTGTAAGTTTTTAAAAATCACTTTTTTGTCATATTGGCTAAAACTGTCCTTATGCCCAGACAGCAGTACATGTGATATGTAACCTGTGAAAAAAACTGCTTCAATTGGTACCGCCTACTGCCTGTATTTCAATCTGGAAAGAATAATTTGGGACGAGTCAAAACAACCAATCACAGCCAGAGGAGCATCTGATGGAGTGTCAATCACAGCTCACACACGCTGAATCCCGCCCCCCCTCTTCTGGTCGCATGCGGTAGCCGCGCAGATGCTGTGAGAGGGGTGGAGCTTGGACGTGGGGCATGAGTGAAGCAGAGAGGGTGGGGGAGTGGCGTGAAACCTTTTTTTTTTTTTCAAATTTTCAGTTGAAGTCTGCTCTCTCCTCAATGTTACAGACTGCAGCTTTAAAGTGTTGCATCACTAGTAAATAACACATGTTTATTAATACTTTGCTATGTTCTTTTGTGTACAACAATTAAAAATGCCAAAGGTTCTGTTTCTCTCCCTCTTAGCCGAGACGCACCCAGCTGGTCAGTCAGAAAACCGGATAGGGAATGAGACGGAGTGGATCTGTTTACCTGACATAGTAAGAAAGCTAGTGCACAAGTGAAAAGTATGGAAGAAAATGCATAAACTGAATTATAATGAATTAATGGGGTTAAGACTTTAACAACTTAGTTGCTAGTTGTTTTTTTTGTTCTTTTTGCAAGCTAAACCATTTTCCTTCCATCAACTCATACCTCTGGTTTCTCTTTCCTTCACCCGACTCTTGATGCATTTTACAAACAAAAGGGGGGAGGGAGTAAAGGAAATACTGAAAAGAGATCCATCTTTTTCTTGAACAAATATTTGTATTTATGATATGTTGTTTTTTAAGATTACTATAATTAAATGATTTATCATGAGCCGGTTTTCTATAGGTGATATATGTGGGCTGAGCGCCTATGCTTATGCAGTCATACAGGAAACACAGACAATATTAATCCTAATTTTGTTTTGTCTTTTATTAAAATAAGAAGTTCCAAATAAACAAGTGGAACAACTATCCATGATATGTTGTTCTTTAGATTAAATAAAGTATCTTTAGAAGAGTCTGACATGAGGCTTTAAGTTTTTTAAAAGGTTCACAAAGCAGATAGGATAAAATGTAAAATATCTGCATGTTGAAAAAAAAAATGAAGATTAAGCTTGTAAAGTAAAACTAAACAAATGTGAGGTAATATTAAAGACTGATTTTTGTTTTTAACTCTGGACTGCCTTTTAGTTACCTTTGTCCTGAATGAACGTCTAGACTGACATTGTCTCTACAAGCAGGCTGAGCACTACTATGTATGCAGCTTTTTGAAATGTAGAATTAAGTTTTTGTTTTTGTGAAAGGTAGAGAAAGAACGAGATAAACATTTAGAGAAAAGAGCAGAACGTATTTTAAGAGAGAGACCTGACTCAGCATGGAGGAAACAGAGAATCCCTCTAATGTCTAACCCCATCGCAGCACTGCGCAGTTCTTGCTCTCACTCAGTTCAATAAAACATATTTGTTTTCATTTTCACAGGAAGAGAAAAAGATTTTCTGTCATGCAACAACCTCACATGTCTTAAATGAGTTTGTGGCATGCTTTCATCTCATTTCGGTTTGATTAATTTATACCTCCTGTTTTCATTACAGTGCATGCACCATTATATAATTTGCTGTGCCGCATGTCCCATAAAATATGCAAACATGACTCCAGGCCTGAGCTCTGCACTGCTTAATCAGCAGGTAGGAAACAGACCTCAGCCATTCACAATAATTAGCAGAAATTATATGTTCGCTCTGACTTTTTTAGTTTATGCAGCCTGATTTTATGATGAAGTGGGACAAAATGAGTACCGTAGCAACAAGTTTTGACAGTTCAGAAGTGGGAATCATAATGCTTTAGGAGACGACTGAGGGTGATAATTAGTGTGAACTGTTAAAATGAGTGTTAAATGTTTCATGTTCACTGTTTCTCTAGACTTTATTAAAACACAATCTATTTGTGATATTTTTAACCTTTTTAATTAGAAGTAAAATAGATCAATAAATAACTAATATGAATGCAAAAATAAACAGCAATTCATTCATAAAATGTTTCAAAATGTTTTCTTAATACATCCAACCTTAACAAATTTTATGGGGATTTTATTTGACACATCAACACAACGTTGGCAAAGGAGGGGTTTCTGCTACAAAATAAAAATCAAAACTTTTAATTTTTAAAACATTTAACTTTTAACATTTTTTAAATCTTTAGGTCAGCCAGATTGAAGTGTCTGTGATTATTGATTTCCAAGTCAGATTTTCTGTTAGATTTAGGTCTTGACTTTTACTGGACCATTCTTACACATTCTTAGATCTAAACAAAGGGTCTGCAACCTGCAGCTTCGTTCTCTCTGTTCGCTCTGTTGAATTTGGCTCTTAATCATGGTTCAAATTATATGAGGAAACAACTAATGTAGTAATGCAGTTCTTAGAAGCTTTAGCTGGTATTTTAAACCTTTATTCGATTAAATTTTGTAAAAAGACTGACATTAAAAGAACCCGAAATATGTTTTAAGATCGATTTTCCTCATTATTGACTGAAAAATTATGTTTCTTTTTCATTGAATAGTATCCTATCCAAGAAGATCCATGTTCATCTTAACGAAACACTTGATACAAATTAACTGTCGGTTTGTCAAAAATGCAACACATTTCCTCTATCAGATATTTAACAAAAATTATAAGTTGTGTTTAATTAAATGGTTATATCAAATTTGTGGATCTAAGCAATATTAACTTATTCGAACTCTGCGCAAATTGGCTCTTTCTATTTTAAAGGTTCCAGATCCCTGACTGGACTTCCTTCTCTCTCTGCAGTAGACACTCTTCCATTGTGACCAGATCTGTTGATTTCATAAATTTTAGTTTTTTTTTTGTCTTCCATTTGTGCCGCACACTTTACATTTGATGAACTGAACAGTGCTCTGTGAGCGGTTCAGAGGTTGGTGTATTATTTCATAATATAATGTTGCCTTAAACATCTCCACATCCCCATCAATGACCTGTCTTCTGTCTTCCTTGGTCTTCATGATGCTGTCTGTTCACTTATATTCTTCTGAGGTTTTCAGAGAACAGCTGGATATATACTGTGGTTTCATTACTCAGTAAGTGTTGCTGATTACTCAGGTTGACTGTATTGTCTAATGAGAGGATTTTTGACTGCATTTACTGGATTTGTATTTTATTTCGGGGCATCAGTAAAGGGGGATTACCACAGATGATCTCAGAGTGATGTGCTACTTTGTTTTGGTTCTTGTCAGGCACTGTGTGTGCTGCATACATGTACAAGGGACATAAAAACAAACTAACTTCAAGTCTAAGATGTAATCCTTTAAAAAAAGGCCTTGATTTTGAGTCATCTCTTAAAAAGGGCACCACTTTCAAGCGAAAATGCTAAAAAAAATATCAACGTTAGATGGAAGAAGAAAGAGCAGAGGGAGAGCAGTGAAGGGAAAAGAGAGGAAGAATTAGTAGCAAACTATTCGAATGATAACCCTTGTAACACAAAATGCAGACAGGCAGGGAGGGGTGGCGAAACCTAATTACAGTGAGCTGATAAGGCAGGAATATCTGAACCTGAAGACTCAGAGGTAGAAAACATTGGCAGGGAAAAAGTTGCATGTACGATTTTTTGTACTTACTGCAATCCGTGACAGGTTGAAAGAGCCACGAAGGAGCGGGGTACGTCTCTTATCTTCCCCTGGTAGTAGCAGTGTTCTCCTCCCTGCGTGCAAAGCATCGTCATGTTAAGTTCAAAGTCATGGATCCTATTAAAATCTTCCAAACAAAGTAAAACACTACAACTGTTATCATGTTCAACCTGGAAATACGTCCAGAGTGATCCATCACACAGATTTCCAATACAGGTAATTGTAAGTATGATGTAGTGATGATTTATGTCTGTGATGTACTTCAGCCTGAACACTTATGACTCCTGTTATCTGTTCCAGCTTCTCCAAAGTATGAGCCTTCTAGACTGGTCGCCCGTAATGTCTTTTCCATCTCGATCAGCAAATTTTCCATCTGTCTGTCTTTGTGTGACTGGTGTGTGTGTGTTCTTGAGCATAAACATACACTTATTGTCTGCAGAGCAGTATGATGTCTAAGAGCCTAAAGTGCTCTTCTGGCCTTCTCCATTTCTTGCTGCCTACCAGTCATTAGACAGGAAGCTTTTATCAGAGGATCAATTACTGCTCTAAACTGTAATGCTGTGAAAACCAGCAGATGTTCTTCTTTATCCAGACCACTCCTTCTGCTCCTTAAACATGTTTTTCGTGGTTTTGTTGAAGGAATATGCATGTAAACACCGGTAAACAAAAAGTGCAAGTGGAAACTTGGGGATAATAAGTACTCTACAACCTCCCCTAATCAGCATTTTAGCACTTTCCAGATGTGCTACATAGATTGTAGGCCAGAGGTGTGTGCAGACAACAGGTTTCCAACTTCAGATGCCGAAATGCTGTTCTATTTCTACACAGGGAGAATCGTCATGTAAGGGACACTGTCTAGTTTTCTAATGTGTTATCATTAATACCTTTTACGCATACTGATTAATTGCTGTCAGTCCTAATCTCTTTTTGCTGGTGAAGATTCTCAGTCATTTAGGTCATAGTTATTCCAAAAAAGTAAAAAATAAATAAATAATAAAAAAAACACTTTCCCCCAAGTTTGAAGACTTTTCGCTTCCCATCTAGGAAGCTTTCTCAATTCAAAATGTATTGAGTAGCGTGGAGTTCCAGGCTCATAAAGTAGCCAAACAAAAATTTTGTTATGGCTTAGAAAACATGCAAATTAAACCGAAAACAAGGCTACCCCTTAATAATGGGGAGTCGTTAGGGTCCATGTTGGCCTGCATAACAGATGCCTCTGTAAAGGGGAGTCATTAGGGTAGTTGTTAGCCTTTGTTGGCCTAATCTCTTTCTGTATTTTAATTATGCGAATATCATTTTGTGTTTGTGCAAAAATGTTGGAGTTAAGGGGTTTGAAGAGAGGAAGAAAACAGTCCCATCTAAAAACATTTACAGTTACACCAATGAGCAGTAAGATTTGATATATCAAAGTATGAGCATTTTTTTATAATTATTTTAGCTCTTATAGCATCTCAACTTTTCTTGAAGAAATGAACCTGGAGTAAGATCATTGCCCATTGCTAATAGATGACAGCACATCAAAAGAAGGTGTTGCCTATGTATGCTTTCAGGATTTAAAAGGGCACTGTTGCTTTGCAGGAAGAAGGTTCTAGGTTCAATTCCCCACCCAGGGTCTTTCTGCATGGAGTTTGCATGTTCTCCCTGAGCATTCATGGGTCCTCTCCGGGTACCCCGGATCCTCCCACAGTCCAAAAACATTACTGTTAGGTTAATAAGCTTCTCAAAATTCTCCTTAGGTGTGAGTGTGTGTGAATGGTTGTTTATCCTGTTTGTTGCCCTGCGATAAATTGATGACCTGTCCAGGGTGTACCCTGCCTCTCACCCACTGACAGCTGGAGATAGAAACCTGCACCCCTCGTGACCCCAGTGTGACGGAAAATGGATGGATGGATTTCAAAGTGTTGAAATCATGTTAGAAAATCATAAAACATACAAGCTTTATAAACAGGCCTTGAGAACAAATGTGTTAATAAAGCAGTCCTCATGAGGATAATGAAGCATGAATTAATTAGAAAGTAAGGAGGTCGTTTTCATATTCTGCTCAACAAACCGCAGGGGTTAAGCTATTTCAGTGATGTTGAGGCTAATTGTCTTTCTTGTCCGCTTTCACTTTTTCCCAATTACACTTACAAACAAAAAGCAAGCATGCAGTTGTTTCTCACTATAAAACATCACTGAAACTTGCACAAAATTAAAGCAATACTATAAGCAAGAAGGAGCAACATATATACAGAGAGAAAACTGAAATTAAGGTAAATTGAAATCTGGAGAGTGTAAGTCATTAAGATGAACCTGGGGCTGGAGATGAAGAAGAAGCAGGTTGGCTGAAGCACAGAAAGTGTGTTTGAAATCTAAAAAAAAAAAAACAGAACAGGCTATTTATAAATGATGCTGTGCTCCACTGTCCCAGAGTCTCTCCTCTTCCTGTCAAACTGAACCTTCTGCTCCACTTCTCTTTAAAGTAAGAGAAACCAAAACCCCAGAGTTATATGTATGTTCTCTGTGATCATCTTTTGTATGTGTATGTTGCTAAACTTGCAAAATATAGGAGCAAGTAATTAGTCGAGTAAAGTGGGACAAAGGGTTAACAAGTTTGGCATTGAACATAGGTTATAAAGGCAAGTTTTGACATGTTTGGATTTGGTGGGGGGTTTTCATTGTTTTTAGTTGTTGGGATATGATTGATTTTCACAATTAACCTGCCATTATTCTAACCACTATTCAACCAGTTGCAGCTCAATAGTTTCACATACAAACTTTATTCATGCTGAATACAGAAAACATCTTATAGGCCTGCATTAAAAAAATAGAGACCATCAGGCATCGGTAGACATTTCACCAGGGGATTTGTCCATTTTTATCATGGAAAATAGGTACCTAACTAGATCATTTATTTTTTCCAATATTTTAAGGCATTAGTGCCCTTTATTCATTAGCCCCTTAACTGGGAGACGGCCAGAGACAAAGCAAGGAAACAGACAGCAAATGTATTATCATTTTAATAATAGAATAGAATAGAAAATGTCTTTGTTGTCCCACAATGGGGAAATAATACTTGGTCACTTATCATTAAATTACTTCACCAATAAAAATACATTTCTTTGATGATCATGTCTGCATCAATGTATTTCCAAAAATACGTTCTTAAAATATTTACACTTTTAAAATAATAGCCTTTTTATGTGACACACAAACATGTGCATTGGGCTCCAGTTGAAACCTGCCAGAAAATCCAGAGTGCGAGAGTGGCTTGTTGTTTTTATTCCGTGCAGGAATTTTGTTCAAACCAGAAAAGCCCAAAAAGGTCCTCCACATTGATGTAAGTCATTGGTGGAAGGGTGTCTTGCTTTCACTGCCCCCTTCTCTGCTCCACTCACAGGAGAAATTCCAACAATAATGGATTCTCCTGCAAGCAGTAAGTGTTGCTGATGGTGTGACTTTTAACCAATTGTGTAAGAGACCTGAAAACAGTAAAAAAAAAACTGGTAAACTGTTCATTTTAATGCTAACGAACGTGCATACACAGAGGTCAAATTGTTGTGCATACTCTCGTGACAAAAAAGGCGCATTAAAAGGGGTCCGAAGGATTTTGTTCCCCTAAAATTGATTAACCATGAATTAAAAAGCTACTTTAGAAAGACTGTTAATTACCAGGTTATGAGTCCTTTAAAAAAATACATCCATTCTATAATATTTAACCAATAAAAAATACATTTATTAATAATCTACAAACTAATGTACAAAGTAAAGCAACGTTTCTTCCATTTTGATCTTTCCTGAGTGAAAAAAAAAATTGATGAGACTAAGTAAAATTTACTAAAAACTTTTTTGTGCAATGATAAATCACCCATCCTGCATCTGCTGCAATTAAACCCAACCTGTGGACAGGCAGCTCCTGATAGCACATTTAAAAGGACGGTACTGTGTCTATTATTGGATGTACTGTTCAAGCAGAACTGATCTAAATCTGGCCTAAATTTATCAAAGCAGCAGCTGTTGGACAATTTGACCTTTACACTGCACACAAACACAAAGATTGTCTAGAATTAACCTCTATTAAAGCATCCGTTTAAACAGAAAAAAGGGCTGCTGCTTTTTGTTAAACTACAAAGAAAACACTGACAGTAGACAACCATAGATGGATTGATCATCTGGACATTCATCAACAATGGAAATTAATTCACTGCTTTGTAATGACTCATAATTACTTGTGACCATATTGTTACAAGATGTGCTGCGTTAATTTGGATCGCTCTCTCTAAAACATCTGATTTTACTACTAATCTGCTGCTTAGCCGTGAAAATCCTGATCATTATAAATCCTCGCCCACTAACGGTGTGTGGTGTCACACAACGTCTGAGTGGGTTTCCTGTGACTGAGCTGTGCAGATTTCAGAGGATTATCTCAGCATTCTTAATCTGGTTTTAACGTAGTTTAAAGTTCAGGCCACTAGATATCGAGAAGCCCACAGATCATCCATAAAACTACAAATTCTCACAGCTGTTTGAGTGTCAACCAGAGACGATTTCGCTCTTCTGCTTAAATGTGGTTTATTGACTTAATGTGTGCACTGAAAGTGCAAACACTTTTAAAATGTTCAGATGTTAAGACTATGGTGTATTGATTATACAGGAAACAACTTCAGCACAAGTTTTAATCTAATGTGACTGTTGTCTAATCCAAACAGGGTCTAATCCAAACAAAATCTAAATTGCGATTATTTTTCACCAAAATTGCATTTTGCGTTTTTATTTCAATTTTCCTTTGCTCTAACCCCAAGTTAATAGATGTTTCAGCCAAGGCGTTTGGTTTTTAAGGGCTTGCTTTCCCAGAGTCCATTTTTAAATGAACTTACTGTAACCATTGTGTGAAAAAGTGTTTACTTTTACTTGTATGCATGGATCTGTGAGCTAGAAGAAAATCTCTTTACCTCTCAGTGTGACGACAAACCCACTTCAAGTGTTTAACCACCACCCAAAGGGCTGGAGGGAGAAATTTAGTGTCCTGCTCTTGTTAAACATAGTGTGATTAAAAACAGTGCCTCTGTAATTATACTGCAATGCAATTAATTGCATATATAATACATAAATGCAGAACTCGAGTTCCATGAGATCCGGGCCTAATTTTAAGCTTAGTTCAATGTGGACACTGGTGATTCTGCAACTTATTTCCAGATCCAAACTATTTTCCTTTATCTGATGTGAACTATTGTGTCCAAAGAGTTGAAACTAAAACACACCATGACGGTAATCCATATCAGAACTGGTCTTAAGTAGTTCAAGTTAGCCAGCATTAGACTTAACTCATCTCTATTTACAAAAGAAACCATCCAATTAAAATTCAGACCAATTCTGATATGAATAGTGATAATCCAAAATCCTTATTGAGGGCTACAAAAAACATTTATTTTCTTTGCACCTTACTATTACACATTCATTTATATATTAATGAGGCTGAATGTACATCTCTAAGTCTGTACTCGTACTCGTACTCGTCGTCTCCCGCTTTATCCGGAACCGGGTCGCGGGGGCAGCAGACTAAGCAGAGACTCCCAGACTTCCCTCTCCGCAGACACCTCCTCCAGCTCTGTTGGGGGAAGCCCTAGGCGCTCCCAGGCCAGCCGAGAGACATAGTCTCTCCAGCGTGTCCTGGGTCGTCCCCTGGGCCTCCTCCCGGTGGGACATGCCTGGAACACCTCCCGAGGGAGGCGTCCAGGGGGCATCCGAAAAAGATGTCCGAGCCACCTCAACTGACTCCTCTCGATGTGGAGGAGAACCGGCTCTACACTGAGCCTCTCCCGAATGACCGAGCTCCTCACCCTATCTCTAAGGGAGAGCCCAGCCACCCTGCGGAGAAAGCTCATTTCAGCCGCTTGTATCCGGGATCTCGTTCTTTCGGTCATGATCCAAATTTCATGACCATAGGTGAGGGTAGGAACGTAGACCGACCGGTAAATTGAGAGCTTTGCCTTTTCGCTCAGCTCTCTCTTCACCAGGACAGACCGGTGCAGCGTCCGCATTATTGCAGCAGCCGCACCGATCCGTCTATCGATCTCCCGCTCCATTCTTCCCTCACTCGTGAACAGGACCCCAAGATACTTGAACTCCTCCACTTGAGGCAAGGACTCCCCTCCAACCCGAAGGGGACATGCCACCTTTTTCCGGTCGAGAACCATGGCCTCGGATTTGGAGGAGCTGATTCTCATCCCGGCCGCTTCACACTCGGCTGCGAACCGCCCCAGCGCACGCTGTAGGTCTTGGCAGGAGGGAGCCAGCAGAACTATGTCATCTGCAAAAAGCAGGGACGAGATCCGCTGTTCCCCAAACCAGACCCCCTCCGGTCCTTGGCTGCACCTAGAAATCCTGTCCATAAAAGTTATGAACAGGACCGGTGACAGAGGGCAGCCCTGTCGGAGTCCAACATGCACCGGGAACAGGTCCGACTTAATGCCGGCAATGCGAACCAGACTCCTGCTCCGCTTGTACAGAGAACGGATGGCCCCTAATAAAGGGCCCCTGACTCCATACTCCTGGAGCACCCCCCACAGGGCAGCACGAGGGACACGGTCGAATGCCTTCTCCAAGTCCACAAAACACATGTGGACTGGTTGGGCAAACTCCCATGAACCCTCAAGCACCCTGCAGAGGGTGTAGAGCTGGTCCACCGTTCCACGGCCAGGACGAAAACCACACTGCTCCTCTTGCAGCCGAGGTTCGACAATCAGCCGGACTCTCCTCTCCAGCACCCTGGCATAGGCCTTTCCGGGGAGGCTGAGAAGTGTGATTCCCCGATAGTTGGAACACACCCTCCGGTCCCCCTTCTTGTGGAGGGGAACCACCACCCCAGTCTGCCAATCCAGGGGAACTGTCCCCGACCTCCACGCGATGTTGAAGAGACGTGTCAACCATGACAGCCCGACAACATCCAGAGCTCTGAGATACTCAGGTCGGATCTCGTCCACCCCCGAAGCCTTGCCACCGTGGAGTTTTTTGACTACCTCGGTGACTGCAGCCTGGGTGATGGACGAACCCAGCCCCAAGCACCTCGTCTCTTCTTCCCCCACGGAAGGCATGTCTGTCGGGTTGAGGAGATCCTCAAAGTATTCCTTCCACCGCCCGACAATATCCTCCTTCAAGGTCAGCAGCTCCCCACACCCACTAAAAACAGTGTTAGTGAAGCACTGCTTTCCCCTCCGGAGGCGCCGGACGGTTTGCCAGAATCGCTTTGAGGCCAACCGATAGTCTTTTTCCATGGCCTCTCCGAACTCCTCCCAGGCCCGAGATTTTGCCTCTGCAACCGCCCGGGCCGCGACACGCTTGGCCTCACGGTACCTGCTTGCTGCTTCAGGAGTCCCACAAGCCAGTCAGGCTTGATAGGACTCCTTCTTCAGCTTGACGGCATCCCTTACTATCGGTGTCCACCACCGGGTTCGGGGATTGCCACCACGACAGGCACCCCAAACCTTACGGCCACAGCTACGGGCAGCCGCATCGACAATAGAGGCAGAGAACACAGCCCATTCGGACTCCATGTCTCCAACCTCCCTCGGAACCTGAGAGAAGCTCTCCCGGAGGTGGGAGTTGAACACGTCTCTGACCGAGGGCTCCACCAGACGTTCCCAGCAGACCCTCACTACACGTTTGGGCCTGCCGAGTCTTTCAGGCTTCCTCCTCTTCCAGCGTATCCAACTCACCACCAGGTGGTGGTCGGTGGACAGCTCCGCCCCTCTCTTCACCCGAGTGTCCAAGACATGCGGCCGAAGATCAGAAGATACGACTACAAAGTCGATCATCGACCTTCGGCCTAGGGTGTCCTGGTGCCAAGTGCACCGATGGACATCCTTATGCCTGAACATGGTGTTCATTATGGACAATCCGTGACTTGCACAGAAGTCCAATAATGAGACACCACTCGGGTTCAGAGCTGGGGGCCCGTTCCTCCCGATCACGCCCCTCCAGGTGTCACTGTCGTTTCCCACGTGGGCGTTGAAGTCTCCCAGCAGAATGATGGAATCCCCGGGAGGGGCGCTTTCTAACACCCTCCCCAGGGATGCTAAGAAGGCCTGGTACTCCGTACTGCCGTTCGGCCCATAGGCCGAAACAACTGTCAGAGTCCTCCCTTCAACCCGAAGGCGAAGGGAGGCGACCCTCTCGTCTACCGGGGTGAACTCCAACACGAGACGGCTGAGCTGGGGGGAGACAAGCAGCCCCACCCCCGCCCTCCGCCTCTCCTCGCGGGTAACTCCAGAGTAGAAGAGAGTCCAGCCTCTCTCAAGGAGCTGGGTTCCAGAGCCCTGGCTGCGCGTAGAGGATCTGTATCCATGTTATATTTGTTCTTGTGCCAACATATGACTTTTAAATGTCACTGAAACAGTTTGTTGTGTCATCAGTAGCTCAAACTATATAGGAAGGTGATCTTTTCAAATTTAAATCACTTCCCATTGAAGCTTTTTTTTTCATTCCTAATTAAACTATGACATCTCGGTTTCGTGATAAAATCTGAGTTGTAACTGCGGCGGCTCACCCCCTCAGAAGCTCAATAATGTAATGTAAATGATTTGTATTATCTTACGCTGGTGACGACGATCTTCCCATTTTCTGATAAATGCCTCTCCTCGTACCCAGAAGACAGGAGGTCACTGCAAAACAAGGAAGAAAAGAAAAACAATAAATATATATCTCTGTAGCCCAGGCACGCTTGTGTTTTACAGTAGCACTCAGCCTGCCTAATTATGAGCCGCAGGAAGAGACAACTCTATTTTCAGCTAACAAAACCTACATAAAAATAGTAATATACCGGAAAGTCCAGGCTTAAAAAAAATGTTATGTAAGAATGTGTGTCTCAGAGGAGGGAGGGATAAACCAAGGTGAGTAGGAAAGGAAGCAGAAAATGCAGAATGACCAAAAGGCAGGAAATACACAGAGGATGAAGGAAGGACAGAGAGTGGCATAAATGAGTAGAAATTGGACTGCATGAGTGCCTTCTCAGCAGAGCTGGACCAAAGAATCCCAGTGGAGATCCACTCTACACATCCGAACCGAGACAGAGATGAATGAGCTTTACTGCTCACACACCCACCCACTACGGAATGCAGCATAGTAATCAGGATTTGTCCTATCTTTAGCATATAAACTATTGTTTCTGAATTGTCTTGGAGATGTGAAAGCATGTATTGTGGAAGCTCATTGTTAGAATTCTCTTATGACAGAAAGAACAACACTTGAAAATTATTCACACAATTTTGTCCTCCAGAGGGGGGAAACATTTGTTTACAATTCAAATTCCTACAGCTGTCATAAACACTTCATAAGTTCAGCGCTACATCATCAGACATGTCAGTTTTCCCCTGAATATGGCCCTCTATTTGAGCCCTATTTATACTTTCCTGAACCATGATGTGTGTGAGTGTTTGTGAAATATATGTGCCTGTTTGGCTCTGATTTACCTAAGTGTGTATGCGTGTGACCAAATGCTATGTTGAAATCTTAGTGAGTGTGTTTTGGTCAAAGTTGCCTCTCATCCTTAAACAGGACAGAGATGTTTCTTTTTTTTTTGCCAAAATCTTTTGGCTCAAAAACCTACGTACAGGTCACAGGTTAAGATCTTGTTTCTGCAAAGATTCGTACGTGACCTCTAGCATTTATTATTTCTGTGTCCTGTCCACTGTATATTCCATGTTGCTAAGTAAGTATAAGGCCTTGAAATATGTTTACACAGTGTGAAAATTATATAACACCAATAGTATCAAGGTATCGGTGTTGCTTTTATAAAAACGAAGGGCTTTCAAAATCCTTGTTAGTGACCTGGGGTGATCTCCACTGTTAACAGTGATCTATGTCCCCTGCAGTTCCCTTGTATGGTACCAAGCCAGGCTTGGAAAACTATAAAATATCCACTCGAGAAACACTTTGAGTCTCTCTACCAAACTGCTACTTTCTGAGATGAGTTCCTAAAGCTGAAAATAAACATTATCACAGAGCTATAAATAGATGGTTCATCCTAAAAACTGCAGTTACAGTAGAAATCTTTTTTTTCTTCGGCTTTTTTATTGTCATTACACTGTCACAAGTACAGAGCAACAAAATGAAATCTCTTCATTTAGCCCATCCCCTTGGGGAGCAGTGGGCTGCCATTGTGCGATGCCCAGGGAGCAGTGTGGGGTAAAAGGTCTTTGCTCAGGGACCCAGAGTAGCAGCCTGTATAAGTGGGGCTTGAACTCAGAACCTCTGGGATCTAAGCGCAATGCCCTATCCACTAGGCCACCACTCGTTCCATGCATTCAGAGCCTTGGCTCTGATTTCTTCTTTTAAGTGTTATAAAAATACATTAACTAATCTATCAGGATTTAGCTTTTTTTATGAATTGTATGCCTAAATTAAACAACTTTGGGGGAGCAATTTCACTTCATCACATCTTACTTACATCTATCTTGATCTGTTGTTGTGGCCGCCCAGCTTTGACCACACAAAAAACTCCACAAGGGCCACAGAAGCACCATGGACAAGTAATTTACTTAGGCAAAAAGAAAACTATTTTCCAGATAAACTCCTTTAGTTTTTTTGGTTTATTTCTCCTTAGACAAGGAAAAGGACAAACATTTTCTCCATGCTTCTCTTGCGCTGGTAAAAAAACAAAACAAAACATACGCCCCCCCAAGATGCATGCTGGTCCTACCATTGACACTATTTTTTTTTAAATTAATCGACCCCAATGGACCATAACTAACCAGAAACAAAGAAACACAACTAAATTACCCAAAACAAGTAGTGTCAAAACAGATATTAAAAAAATAAAGTAGAATAAATAGAATTAACTAGATTGTCCATAAAAAATAACAATGTAGTTAATTATTAACAAAAAAAAAAATTGGATCCTACCGCTATATTTATGTTGATCTTTCAGTACTTTCACTTTCTGCATGTAATTAGTAATACATTAGCTAAACTGTTAAAAGGACATTTATCATGGAATATTATTTAGGTTAAAAGGCAAAGAGTACTGAGCCTTTTATAATGCTGGTTCTGAATCCCTGGATCAGCTGCTGAAACAGATAATCATTTTAAATCACAACAAAATGTTTTGTGCAAGTCTTTCGGCTCTAATGGGATGCAAATATTGCATTGTTTTTTTTCTAAACCTAACCTAATTATTTCTTCATTTATTTATTGTCAAGTCATATTATATTTTGAATAGATATTTGAAATGTATAATATGTGGTTATTTACTTATTATTGATTTTCGTTTAGATATGTGGAGCAACATTCTCGAATGAGTATGAAGATTACATGAAAGTGTTGTCAATATCTAACTGAAAAAAGAGTCTGAAAATTATTTTGCTGTAGTTTGCGTTTATCCAGAAGTGCTATACAGAATATAAATATTTACTTACATGTGCAAAGAGACTATGCATGTAATGACTATAAATGGCAACTGTAAGAAGCTATAAAAGAAATAAACATGAAAACTGTATATAGATTATAAAGGAAAGTTATGATATTGATTATATATAAATTAGTGGGGTTATAATACAGAATAAATTATGACAGATAATAGCAGATAAAAGATTTGCAGATTATATAAAGCTATAGTTGAGACCTACATGTAAGTGGCGTTGGATCCATATTGGATATTTTTTTAATAACTTAAATTAAGTTGCAACTTTATGACACTTTCATTACATATTTGGTAATGAAACTCCTCATAGCAGCACAAGTAGCCTGTTATCTGCCCTGGATGTACAAGATGCAAAAGCTGCCCCTGGTTTCTCTATCCATGTCTGTCCTTAAGTTCAGGTATTTTAATTTTTGTGGCGTTATGGTCGATTGTTACATAAAACATGATATTTATGCTAAAGAAATATTTCTTTTGATAAAAAAGATAAACTTTGTTTCTCAATGTGAGCTAAAAAAGATAACCAATTAATTGCTGTTTGGTTCTTTACATGAGCCCATTTCAGTTTCTACCACAAACTTTCACATTTTCTTTTCTTATAATGTAAGTAGTTTTATTGAAATAAATCAAATATAATAAGATTTACTGAAAGTAACCAGCAGCAGTTGTGCCTTTGGTTACCAAGTGTGTGTTAAGGACTTTTACGTGTCACTGTGAGGATCAGTTTATAAAATCTTGTTTTACTTACGCTCTCTTTACAAAAAAGTGTTACGGCCAATGATGAGTTTGATTTCGTAGAATTTTTTTTTTTTTATATATAAAAAATATATTCATACCTAAGGTTGTATTTCTCAAAATTTTCAGGGTAAAACTTTCCTACTACGATAAAATATATATTTTATTACTTGACTGATATTTACAAAGGAGAGCAAAAATATGGAGGGTGCTTCAATGTTAAAAAAAATAATAATAAAAAATGTGTAATAAAAAATTTCTTGAATCCGGATTAGGTGCTGAAAGTTACAGAGGAAGCAAAAAGGTTTTTACCCGAGATGTTATATCCGCATCCAACCTCTAACACAAAAGCACTCACCTACAGGGGATGCTCTCTGCACTGATGGGCAGTTTGCCGTTGCCATAAAATATAAGTGGATAAAAGGGGTGGAGAGAGATGAAATGGAAAAAAACTGATGAATCATCAATAGAGGAGTAACTGCTCAGGAAACAGGGAATGTGAGTCTGAGATTTAGAAAACAGGAGGATATAGTCTGAGTATGCAGCTCAAATCCCAGGCAGATATCACTATATGCTCTGCTGTTAGGATGTTTCTAGGAACAAAAGATCAGCTCCAACATCACATTAACACCACTACCGATCTAACACGGTAAAGTCTTTATGTATCTGTATGTCTTTATGCGTCTTCAGACAACATCAATTTCTTTTAATGCACACATATGTTTCTATGACAAAGTCAAATTGTGATAGTGCACGTGGATAAAAGCCTGGTGCTGTGAGCTTTTGTTCTGCTGAGAGGTGTGTTTACGATTCAGAGCTTGTGATCTCTATCCGGAGCCATGCTGAGTCTTTACACTTGGGGGTGGGGGGGAGCAGCAGCACTTCAAACTGAGGCGGCGAGGTAGAGACACGAGGCCTCTAATGGACGACGCTGATAACAGATTTCATCGTTAATTGTGGTGGGATTTGAATAAATTACTTGATGGACAAGAAAGGAATAAAAAGGAGCTGGAATAACACTCTACCATCACCCCCCACATGTATCTCCCGCCTTTATTGTTAACACATGTTAACACCCGTTTTAGCTTAGCTCTGACATGAGAAAAATCTAATAAATATATATTCAGTCCACTTTATTTACATACCTCATTATAAAAAAAAAAAAAAACATTTCCAAAGTGCTTCAGAGTTTAATAGAAATATAATTAATACAATATAATATGTGTTAACTCACCAAACAACACTATGCAAAGCTCTAGAGTGCAGGTTTCTTTATTTTTTTGTTTTCAAAGAATAAATTCTCCCTCATGATTTTTAGTTTTTTTTCTACCAGTTGGGACTTTAATTGACATTTTACTAATTTTCAGTGAAGTGTCTGGACATATTGGAGGTACATTTCAGTGTTTGTCAAAGCTACTGTCGCTGTTTTCAGTTCGGTCCAATTTCTCAATATGTATTGTAAAAAAATTAAACCCAAGCAGTCTTTTATATTGTAAATTAAATAAAATAGGG